CTTAGTGCCATGGATGACAGATACCTAGTGAGAATCACCTTTACCCCTTTTCTCAAGTCAACAGTGGCGCACAGGGGCAGCACTGCTCTTTGGTTGCACCTTCTGGGCAGCGTGGTGCCAGACGTTGCTGACCTCCTAAGGCTGATGCTGCTCTTCACACATCTCTTAGGACAATATAGAAAACACACGCCAGGGTGGGAAACCCTTCATCTTTTCTGGAGCCATTTTAACAACTGGCTCATCCTAAAGAATGGTAAGGGAAAATGCACAAGGATTTACACTCTAGGATGCTTTTGGCCCCTTCTTTGTAACAGTAAGATGCTGAAAAGACAAATGTCTAGTAATAAATTGTCAAATTTAATTTGGGACATAATGAAAATGGAATGCTCCATGGTTACTGAACATTAAAATACTAAGCATTAATAAACACTTGAATGTTGTCTCTGAGGTAGAAAAAACAGCTGTCTGCTTAAGTGTACACAGCAGGATTATAATTTACAAGATACATACAGAAAATGACTGTAAGATAAATGTTAAAACGATAATTGTATTTATTCATCAGTGACAGGATAATAGATAGTCATTATTCTAGCTTATATGTATAAAATATAGGAATCTATTATTTACATAATAAAAATTTTGGTTCCAATCACAGAATGTAGTATCTTGACAAGGGAGCTATCTTTCGGATCATGCATCTCCTTTTATTCTATTTTCCTTGGTTGCTTATAGAAACAGAACATGAGACTCCCATATCCGTTTGGTTTCTTTGAAATTGGTAATAATGCTGATCCGGGGTTGCTATGCCCCATTCTAAGTCTCCTTTCTTTCTCAAAGGGTATTTTCGGTTATCACTTTCCACATCTAGCTCCTATCCTCCACTTTTAGTTGCAGGCTAATGCACCGACCCTCATTTCCTTCACTATTTCCCTCTTCCTTCTATTCCTGTACCACACAGTATTGCTACTTTGCCAAAAGTCCAGCTCTGATTTTGCTAAACCACAGCCAATGTTTTGAGTCCCTGAGATGTGACCACACTTCTGCTCCACCCAATACTCTCTGTGCTGCTGACTTCCGTTTAATATATATTTTTTTTATTTTTAATTTTTTGGGTTTTGAAATGTGGCAGCTGAAGAGGACTCTGGGGAGAAAATCCAGTGTGGAGCTGTAAAGTTAGTGAGTTAGGCTGTGTTATTCCCAGTCTCTATGACTTCAGGGTGTAGAATTGCATGCCCACACTCCACGACGTGTAACTCTGTTCTCCTGCCAACTGAGCAGGGCCAGTGTGTTCTCCGTCACACCGAAGCTGGAATCCACATGACTTTGGTCAAAGGAGGGCTAAGAGAGGTGACAAGAGGAAATTTGCATTCGTCATTGTGCTTCATTGCTGGACTTGATTGTTTGGGCTTCTGCAATCATCCATGTAAAGAATATTCCAGAAACTTCCTAGTCTGTGAGGCTCACAGACTAGACCTAAATACAACCTATGGCTTAGGGCTCAGCCAGCTGACCCACAGACCCATGAGGCGGGCACCAAAGACCCCATTACTGACATCTTGGTGTTGCTAGTTGTTAAGCTCCTGTGTATGTGGTTGTCAGTGGAGAAATAAATACTGGCTGGCCTTGGTATGGATAATAGCACTACAACTGAATTGTGGTCACATCAGGGTGTGCACTGGTGAGATACACAGTTCTCAATTAGGTGTAAAACATTTCACCAGCACTCTTATATTTCTTTGATCTTCTAATAGGACCCCAAAAGACAAATTATAATAAAAATGATTAAAAAACACTGTAAGAAACCACACAAAGAAAACATACAGCCTTCCCTTGGCATGGTGTCCCAAATGTTGAAAGTCAAACGATTCTCTTGTCAACATTTACTATAATGAGGGGATGCGTTGTGATCGGGTTGCCTTTCTTCTCCATACCTTCTATGGTTGTTTCCCAAAGCGCAGCGAGGAAATGCTCCATCACCTTCTCTGCTAGTGGATACTCAAGAACACAGGGATAAGGCGAGGAGTGGAGCCCTATGTCTGCACCCACACAGTTGGGGGAACGCGAAGTCAGGGTTAAAGTCCCCTGTGTGGTGGGACTGACCCAGCACGTCCCCTGTGTGGTGGGACTGACCCAGCACGTCCCGTGGGGAGCCTTTCCAGCACAGCAGCTGAGACTCAAGCAAACCTATGCACGCACGATTTGAAACTGGGATTTGTTACATAAAAACCAAGGCCCTGGGTAAGTCCTTTAATGACCTTTGCCTCAGTATCCTCACGTGTGAGATGAAGACAATAAGAGGGTATTTCTCAGAGGTTTGAGGTGAGGATTGGATGAATTCTCTCATGCCAGGGGCTTACAGAGCTTTAAGATGATGCTAAATATTCACTTCAAGTATACTGCTGATTTTGGTGAGGCAAGGTTGCTAAGTACTCTTTTTGAAGAATTTTACACATACATATAATAAAGCTTGTAAGAAAGAGAGAAAAAGAAATTAATACCATGACAGATTGTGTTTAGTAATTTTCAACAGATGGTATTGGAGATAGAAAAATGATTACATTAGGGACAGGCTTTTCCCTGTGCTAGCCTAGGCTCCCCCCTCCAGGCTCAGGAGGAAAATCTCATCGGAAGCTTGAGTGCTGGGATCAGCATGGCTGGGTAGCAGCATCTTGGTGGGGCAGAGATGGGACTCCGTGGATCCCGAAGAGCACATTGAGGCTAAGGGGTGTGCTTCCAACAGATGGGACTGGCCGGCAGGGCCCGATTTAGCTTCCTGGTTCCTTCCCTTTCTTAAACCTCTGCTTTTAGCCCAGTTCTGGGGTCTTGGAGGTGGGCGCCTTTCTCCTTCTCTAGCTGGTGCTGAGACTGCAGATTCTTTAAACAGATCTGTACCTCATATGGCAGCCCCCAGATGCTGGGGTTGGTGCTGGATAGCGTTTAGGCTGGTAGGCGTAAAGTGGGGTGTGTTAGACTGATACAGTACTATTCCAAAGTGGACAGGGGGCAACTAGGAAACAAACTCTTAGCTCTCAAGCTCCGGTGCGTTACTCTCTCCTCTGTGAAGTCCATGAACGAGTCATCCACTGACCCCAGACAGGGCTACCATTCCCAAGTTTTCCAGTTTTCGAGTTTAAAGTGGGGTGCAGGTCCCTGCTGGGTGCTTGTGTCATTTGGAGAATGGGTTCACTCATTATCGTTGTTTTACCAGACGGAAGACTCGTCTTCGGGGGCCTGTGCTTCCTCATGGTGGGTGATCGTCCTGGTCACCTCTTCTGCTTCTTTGGAACCTGGGCTGCAAACCGGAGATTGCCAAAAGCCGCTAGAAGTAGAGCAGAAGGGTGAGGAAGGGCTCTGTGTACGCATGAGAGGATTTCAGAGCTGGACAATTCCTTAAATTCTGCCTTCATTCTTTTTCCTGTTCACGAGAAATAAAAAGCAACGGTGCAATCTTACTGCACAAGGTTAAAAGGAGATGGGGAGGGGAGGGTCTGTTGCCAGGATGTGCAGTGGGATTTGAAAGACAGGTGAGACAAGAGGGTGGGAAGGAGGAGAGAGAGGTACCGGAAGCTCTGGGCTCCTCTCCCATGCGGGAGTGAGAGCCGCGGTGGAGCTCAGCCCTCTCCTGCACCACCTGGGCCGCCCAAGTGGCACCTGGCAGCCAGCTTGGCTCATTAGCATTTTCACAGCCAAGGGGCAGGTCACAGGATGCTCTCTGAAGACATTTAAATTGCTGGATTAAAAAATGTTCCAGGGCATGGATTAAAAACTGCCCCGGGGCATTCCTGTCCCCTAGTCTTCCATATGGCCAGGCAGAAGCCTGACGTTTCTTCATTCTGAAGAGGGTTTCATGGGGGCGGGGCCGGATGCCTATGAAAGGAGGGTGACAGCACCAGGAACTACTCTTGCCATTCCTTCTTCCTTGCCCTGCTTTTCCCGCTCAGTTTTCCTTTCTTCCTATTTCCCTACTGTCTTCGCTGTGCTTTTCAGATATACTGACTGCCAAAAGAGGAACAGAAGTGACCAGAATCAGCACACGTCCCCAGGCCAGACTCTGCCATTCTGTGAGCAGATGCAGAGATGCTTCTGAAGGATGAGCTTCTCCTGCTAATGTAATGTGGTTCTCAGGGACATCTGTGCATCCGTTTTCTCTGCTGCTGCAGCAAATTAATCACCACAAATTTAGTGATTTAAACCAGCTCCAAGTAATTTCCTCCCGTTCTAGAAGTCAGAAGCCTGGGCACAGCGGTGGAGTCTCTCTGATGTGGGTAGGCTGTGCTTTCTTTCTGGGAGCTCTGGAGTGAGTCTGTTTCTCAGCACCCAGGCTCTTGGCTGAGTTCATTTCCTTGTGATGCTAAGACTTGGGTCCCCAGGTCTTTGGTGGCTGCAGACAACGGGCTTGCTATTTGGTCTTAAAGCCTGTCCCCATCCAGCTCATGCCTTCCACGTGGCAGCAATGTCCCTCTTGATTCCAACCTCTGACTTCACCTTTCTGCCGAATCTTTCAGGCAGGCCTCTAGTTGGAAAAAGCTCTCTGCTGTGAAAAGCTCCAGTGCTTAGGGAAGCTAGGGTAAGTTTCCTATTTTAAGGCATTAAAATAGTGCATTCTACTTTAAAATCCCTTTTATTGGTGTAGCGTATTCACAGTTCCATGGATTCAGGTGTGGGCATCTGGGAGGGGGTATTATTTTTCACTTAAGACCTTATAAATAATTCATCAACTGTCTGGAAGCCCAGAAGCGGGATGTTTGCTGCAGTCTTTGTCGGGGGAGCCTTGCATGTCCACTCATTGTGGGGCTGGTGAGAAAAGGAGGGAGAATGTCTGAGGTCATAGGCTAGGGTGAGCCAGAGAGAACTGTCACTCCCAGAGAACCGATGTCCTCCTCTGAAGCTCAGAACTTCAGAGTCTACTTAGTCATGGCCGTGGCCATCTGGAAAGATGACATGAATTGGCCAAGATCAGTGGGCACCAGAGCAGAGTGCTCAGAAGGTAGCTGCTGTGAAGTCTGAGGGAGTTTTCAGAATGTAGACCCATCCTCAGACTATTGTTCATCTTTGCATTGGAGAAATAATAGCTGTGGTTTTCTTGGCTCTAGAAATGCCTGCCAATGGCGTTATGTATTGAACATGACTATGGCCTTTCCATAAGTGGAGAGACATTGCTCACGATGGACAGCAATAAACACTCCACTTTACTATTACAGTGTCTGAATGGCCTCATAATCAGAGCTCATTGTCTCTTCTTTGCATGGCCACAGTCTACTCCATCGGGCTCATAAGAAGGCATGGAGCTCCAAGAGAAGAAACTTGGCACAGAATCCCACCCCTGTGCCTCCTCCTCTACGAGCTAAGGAAGGCATTCTCTATGGCTCTATTCAGGTCCGCAGGCAGAGAGCTTGGTCCACAGAGAGGCAGGCTTGCTGTTCAGGTGTCTCCTTCTCTTGCCAAGTCTTCTCACTCCAGTCTCCTCTTTATCACACTCTAGAGACACCTACCTCCCTGGGATTTACATAAGCTGGAGCAAAGTGCTCTCCAGCTAAGAATATAACCACCGCCTAACCCTGGGCACTGTGCCTGGGAAGTGAGGAGACTGACTCCCTGTACCTCTGACTCAGTGAAGAGACAAATGCATGAGGAAACTACTGGATTAATGTTGAGGGGGAGGGGGAACCTGGTGTTTTTAGCACAGGACGGCAGAGCTTGCTTCTAAGAAGTCCTAGAGGGTAGAAGCTTCTATTTAAGCTCCTTTTCTTGAATGCCTCAGACATCTTTGGCAGTGTAGGTTTTTAAGCAGCGAGTGAGGCACAGAGAAGATGGCAGACTGAAACAGGAAATGCCAGCATACCAGCGGTGGTGCGCGCTGACCGTGGGGACTGGCTGGTTTTCTCACACACCAGAACCTCCCTCTGAATTCCAGAGCATGCCTCTGCTGAGATAGCGGAATGCTAAGACCTGTACTCCAGCATCATTTCATCTGGGCAGAAAGAAACAGACGTGGCCTACTGCTGAACCGTGGCACGTGGCAGCCTCTGTGAGCAACATGGGTCTCCCACCAGTGATCTCTAGCTTCTCTTAGCTGTCCCTGGGAGGAAGCATTTCCGTTTCTTAGCATTATGGCAATGTCCCCTGATAGGCAGTTTAGCTTTCTCTAGGTGGAGCTACTCCTGTCTCTGCTTCCAGCAAGATCCCAGGCTTTGCTCAGGTTTTCTTACACCCAACAACTGAGACACAGGTCTAGAAAGGAGAAATGTGTACAAACTCAGTATCCATCACTGACAGTCTGGTGTGTGCCAGTCCAGAGCTGCAGTTTGGGCGGTTTACTCCTGAGGCAGATGCTTCTGGTTACATATCCAATAGTCATCCCTACTGTCCTTAGCGTCACTGTTGTGATGAACCACCATCACTAAGAACAGCCGTGGGGAGGAAAGGGTTTACTTATGCTTACATTCCAGGCCAAGTCCATCACTGAGGGAAGAAGCCAGGACATGAACTTCAGCAGGAACTGACGTAGAAGCCTTGCTGAAACATTTCCTGTGATCTGTGTCCATCCAGGACCGCCTGGCTGCAACCGGCACTACTCAGAGCGGTAAGTAGGCACTATTCCTGGACCAATCAACAGTTAAGACGGTTCCCCACAGACAGGGCCACAGGCCATTCTGATCTGGAAAAATCCTTCAACTGATACTTCCTTTTCCCAGGTGACTCTTGGTTGTGCCAAACTGACAATAAAAGCAACCAGGACACTCACTTCTTCTTCCTTTCGGATGGAATCAACCTCCTACCATAGGCGTTGACGTTGGCTTATACAGAATATACACACTTCCTGGAATGGCTGACTTTGTGACTCTCAGTCCCAGCTCTCACTAACTGTGACCTCTGGCAAGTCTTTTCTCTACCCTCCTCTCATCTGTGATTGGACATAACACTTCCTGCTAGGTAGGTAAAGTCTCTATGACCACACTCTGGCCCGCATTTCTCACTAGGCATAATTCTTGCTCCACCGCTGTCACAGGCCAGTCTTTACTGTGGCTCAGGTACATGTCACCCATTACTGACCCTCCAGACTAGGGAGAAAAGTCTGTTGGCGAGCTTCCGGGTAATTCTCAGGAAGACATGGGTGCTGTCGGTCTCCACTGCTCCTAGTCTGGTCTCTGTGTGATACCTGAAGTTTCGGAGGGGTTCCAGCCCAGAATGATTTGATTTGAGATGCTTTGTTTCTTGGAATAATGGGTTGCCTTTACTGTTTAAGCCTCTTAGCACCCATGGTCTAGTGATGACAAAGTGACAGTGCAGTTAAGCCACACGTGGCTTTCTATGTATTTGATAATATTATTGTTTGCATGATATTTTGCTTTAAAGTTTTCTGAAAACCTGGGTACTATTACATCCACAAAATAAAAACAAATATTCTAAGTGTGAAAAAGCTTACAGGGAAAAGTGGGCATTCACATGCCCAGTTCTCAGGCCCCCAACAGCTAGCTAACCACCCCTGCCAATCTTTCATTTACCATACCAGGGATTTCTGAAAATAAACACACAATAAATGTAAGCAAGACACAAATACATTGGTTTCACTGCTGGTAATATAAATATTAGAAAGCTGTACGTCATCCTGTACCTTGATTAATTCACTTAATATATTTTGGTGAGCATTCCTGATTGATATAGAACGTTCTTGTAGTGATCGGGAAATGGTCCTGCAGCTGACAGCATTTGTGGCCCTTGCAGGCCAGAAATCATATAAGGCAGCTCCCAAATGCCTGTAAGTCCAGCTCCAGAGGATCTCTTAGGAACTCTTGAGCAATATGTACACACACACACACACACACACACACACACACACACACAAATAAATAATAAAATGTTCTAATAATACTACAAAATGCTGTACTGAATTAAACCCCTCTTCCTAACATGGATATAGGCTCTGTCCCATCTTGATGGCAATGTTGCAATTAATAAATGGTTTACTTACCATTTTGGACATATGCAAATCTGTCTGTGGAGTGAATTCCCCAAAGTGGAATTACTGGATCCAAGAGCACATACATCTGTAGCCTTGGTAGCTATTGCTAAATTGCCATCCATATGGGCCATGCAAATGTATACTCCCACCAGCAAGGTATGAGAGTGTCAGCTTCCCACAGCCTTGGCAACAGGGCATGCTATTGAATTTGGGACGGTTGCCAGATTCATGGTGGAAAAAAATGGCTCTGAGAGTAGTTTTAATTTGCATGCATCTCATTATGAGTGTAAAAGAGCATTTTAAGCATATTAAGAATAATGTATTTATTCTTTGCATTGTCTTTATAACATTTATCTGTTTTTCCAGTGAGTTATTGGTCTCTTTCTCATCTACCTCTAGGGCTTTTTACATACTAATAAGGTTATTCTGTGTCTATGATGAGTTATAGTTTCTAGTTTGTCATTTGTGTCTTTTTTTAATTATATGAGGGTTTCATTTTGTTAGGTAGAGGTTTTTAAATTTCTTTTTTATATACAGTTGGGTTTATTAGTTTTATTTTGTAAACTTCGTATGGTGTGAAATTATGAAATAATTTCAGTCTATTCATCTATTATCTTTGATTTATTTTTTATATTAAAGATTTGATCCATTTGAAAATTACCAAGAGGGATGGAATGACATTAGAGTTTAAGATTAATATTTCTGAGGTAGCTACTATCTGGCCTACAGTTATTCAAGTTTGCTGTCTTTCCTAGGGTGCTATTTGTCTCCTTCCTGTCTCCTTCCCTTTCCACTTTAGGACTGCACTGTTCCTGAACCAGCACAGTATGCCCTGATTTACCTTTATTAATCAGTGTGAACTCTGGAATTCTTTAAACCTGAAAAAAAAGGTTTATTGGCATTATGTTAAATTTAAAAGATGGAAGATAAACATATTTTGTGTGTGTGTGTATGTGTGTGTGTGTGTATGTACATGCACATGAAAGTATATGTACACATGCCTGTAGAGGCCAGAGGCCAGCTTCATGTGTCTTTGATTGTACCCCATCTTATTTTTGAGACAAGGTCTCCCATTGAACCTGGAGCTCTCTGGTCAACTAGAACAGTTGGCCAGTGAGCTCCAGAAGTCCTCCTGTCTAGACCCGTAGTGCACTGTAGGTGCATAATGCCACACCCTGCTTTTACATGGGCCCTGGGGAACCCAGACTTGCAGAGTGCTTTATCAACTAAGCCTCAGGTCCGAGGTGAGCATGCTCTTGATACAAGAAAAGAAACATTTTCCCCACGGTACTGTGTTGTATATTAATAATTGTGGTTCTTGTTACCTGCAAATTCTTTTTGTTTGTTTTTAGAGAAAGGGTTTCTCTGGCTGTCCTGGAACTCGCTTTTTAGACCAGGCTGGCCTGGAACTCAGAGGTCCACCTGCCTCTGCCTCCTGAGTGCTGGGACTAAAGGTGTGCACTACTATCAACAGGCTATGAAATCTTATTTCAGTCTTAGCTTTTAACTACTGACTTATCTATATTAATTTTCTACTCTCCAATATTACTGACAGTAAATTTTGCAGCTTGGTTTTTAGTAGTCTCTACAAACATCAATTTTCTTGGGGTTTATAAGCAAATAGTATCATCATTAAATAATTAGCAAATAGTTTTGTCTCTCCCTCTGCATTTTTATACCTTAAAGTTTTCTCTCACATACACTCCATTGGCTAGAATACAAGTAGAAATTAAAAAAAGAGTAGGGGAGTGGCTGGACATGTAGCTCAGTGGTAAAAGACTTGTCTGGTACGCACAAAACCTAGTGTTTGATTCCTAGTTCATAATAAGTTAGATGGTGCTGTTGATGAAGAAGGTGATAATATATCCAGGTAAATTTACAGTCACACAGGGCAATTTTTAATATCATCTCACTGAGAAATAGAGCAAGTATACAAAAATTAGTGAATTGTATGAGTTGTGAATTTGATTTCACTGGTGTTAGTAAGACCTTACATGCAGGAACCCCCAAATTCAACCAACAAAGTCGTCTACAGATAAACTGGTGACTTTAGTAAATGAATCTGGACAGATCACAAGCTATATGATCAACATATAAAAATAAATACAGTCTCTACTTCAGAACTATAAAACCAGGATGTTAAGTTTTAGAAGTCATTTCATTTACCATAACATCAAGATGTATCAAACACCCAGTGAACACTTAATAAAAGATATCTAAGGCTTCCATGATGAAAATCACAAATATTGTTGAGAGAAATTAATTAAAACCTAAGGGGGGTGTTTATGAACTAAATAACTCAGTTTAGTGGAGATGTCAATTATCTGTAAACTGATCTATAAATTCAGTGTACTCTCATTCAAAAACCCAGCAGCTGTCTAGTAGAAACTGACAAGCTGGCCATAAAATTTATATGGAATTATAAATGGTCCTGAATAAATAATACAATCTTGAACAAGAAAGTTGGAGGACTTATTTTACTGGCTCCCAAGTCTTAACCTTGGTAATAAAAGCAATTTAAATATTAATGCAAGGATAACACTCCTTTGCTTTAAAAGGGGGGATATGATGGAATAAAGCTCAGAAGCAGATCTTCATGTATAGATGTATGCAGATGCTTGATTTACAGCAAAGGTTGGTGTTGAGTGGAGGAGCCTTTTCCTTGCCAGCTGCTTTGGTTTTTCCCCACCAGTGGCCTGGGCTCTGCCACGTTGTAGTCCCCAAATAACACGCAAGACACTGTATTAACTATGAAGCTGATGGCCTTACTTGTTTCTTATTGGCTAGCTCTGACTTAAGTATTTACTCCATAATTGTTAATCTAAGTATTTCTCTTACCGGAGAAAAGGGTCTGGACTTCTTACCCCCTATGGCAGGTACATAATGACTCCCTGTGTTTCTCCTTCCCAGAATCCTGCTCGACTCCTAGTCCCACCTATCTTACTTCCCTATTGGTCAACAGTGCTTTATTCAACAACCAATAAGAGACAGATTTACAGAATGACATCTCCCATCAGGTTGGACTTTGCTATAGATCAAGAGGAACAGATCCTGTATTGAATAAATGATGTTGGACCAATTACATAGGATTTAGAAAAACACAAAACAAAACAAAAATCTTGACCTCTACATATCACAAATGAATCCCAGGTAGCCTGAATGTGAGAAGGGAAAGACTTTTCTAGATGTATGACTGTGTGTCATGCTGTTTGTTTGTTTTGCCGTGGCTTTGGGTAAGCAAAGCTAAATGGAACATTGCAAAGTACACACTGTAGTGAAGGTTGAGAGGTTAAACTGCGCAGATGTTAGCACCTTTTGTTCATCCAAGGGAGTTGTTATAAATCAGGAAAGCTCCCGGCAGTGGTGGCGCACTTGGGAGTGGGAGGCAGAGGCAGGTAGATCTCTGTGAGTTCTGGGCCAGCCTGGCCTACAGAGTGAGTTCCAGGACAGCCAAGAATACACAGAAAACCCCTGTCTCGGGGGAAAAAAACTGGGAAGGCACAGCACAGAGTGAGAAGATGCTCTCGGCACATACAGCAAGGGGCTCGTTCCAGAAACAGCCTTGTGCCAAGAAGAAAGATAATTTTGTTGTTGGTTTTTGTTTGCTTGTTTTATTTTTTTGAGAACAGGGTCTCACTCTGTACACCAGGCTGCCTTGGAACCCACAGAGGTCCACCTGTCTCTGCATCCCAAATCCTGGGTTAAAGGCATGGACTTCCACACCCAGCAAGTAAAAAGACTTTCAAAAATGAATAAGAGGTATCTGGAAAGATGACTCAACAGATAAGTGCCCTGGCTGATCTTCCAAGGACGCAGGTTCCATTGTGAGCCCTCACATGGCAGTTGACAACAGACTGTAGCTCCATTCCCAGGGATCCCACACCCTATTCTGTTCTCATCAGGGACAAAGCATGAGCATGACGCACAGTCATACATCCAGGCAAAGCACTCATGCACATAAAAATAATGAAGTAATGGAAAGGAAAAAGACGATTCCGCTGGACACTCAACATCCATAAATTGTAAGGAGCTGACCTGGTTGTTTACTGGCCAGGGATGCTTAACACCACCAAGAGACAACTCCCCACACTGCCAGAAAGAAGATAAAAAGACGGAGAGTTCCAAGCATGGAGCCACTAGACCTCTCGGATCCACTTCTGGGAAAATCGGAGAACTTCTGGTAAAGTTAAAAGACACATGATTATAATGTTAGGCTAACCACATGCTGTCTCCCATGTGAGAAGTGTTCGTGACTATAAAACAGAGTGGACTATGGGTTAGAACTTAGGGTAGTGCTTATGTAGGGAGGAAGGGTAGGGCTCTAGGGAGGCTGCTGGTGGCCGGTCTGGGATGCCTTCATTTGAGATGATTTGTTAAGCAGTAACCATTTATTACTCATCCCGTGTGCATATGTAAGAGGTGGTGGGTGCTGTGCTCTCCCTTCTTCTCACCCCCTTGTGAATGCTGCCCACACTGGAAGGAACTTTTGTTCCCTAGCTAGCTCAGGGGTCAGCATAGTCCATGAATGCAGTGGGTGTTTTGCAAGTCCATCCTAAGAGTTCAGGGTAGGGCTCTGTTGTGCCAAAGCCAGCTGCTCTCCCGTTGATTGACAGAGTCCAGTCCACGTCAGGGCTTCCCAGCTCACCAAAGCTGTGCCACGTTTACACTTCCACGAGAAGGGCCCCAGCCACCGGGTGGGCCTCAGCTCCAAAGCTGGAGTATCTGCCCTTCTCTATCCCATATCCGACTCCCACCATCTGGATGCAGCATTTGGCAGGGAGCTAGAGAAAAAACCTGCTGGGACCACAATACCCTGAGCAGGAGGCAAAATCAAGCCTAGACTAGCAGAGAACTATACTCTGGCTAAACACTAACTACTTTCCTAATTGTAGATGCTGAAACTGACAAATGGCATACACCTGTTGGTGTTTGAGGCGGATTCATTTGTTTAATTAAATTGTTAATGGCATCAACATGTGTGAGCACCGTGCCTAGCTCCAGATGGGAGCGCCCATCGTTATAAAGTTAAGCAATAACAACATTTTGATTTGTGGGTGTGGTATAATTCTGAGAAAAATATTATTTTATGAGAACTATTATTGTAATGTTTTTGTATATGTGATCAATAATAACAATAAACATTAAAATAAAAACCTGGGCCTAGAGAACTGGCTCAGCAGTTAAGAGCACGTGCTGTTCTTGCAGAGTATGGGGATTTGGTTCTCAAAACTCAGCACAGCCATGTGTAAGTCCAGTTCTAGGGGACCTGACATTCTCTTTCTGACTTCCTTGGGAACCAGGCACACATGTGGTGAATACACATTCACACAGGCAAAACATTCATGCAAATAAACAGTTTTTTTTTTAATCTTAAGAAGAAAAACCCAACAGGCCAGAGCTGTAGCTTAGTTGGCAAAGCACTTTTCCTACTGGGCACGAGGCTCTGAGTTCAATGCCAGCCCTGAGTAAACTGGGTGGTGGTGCACACCTGTGATCCTGTACTCAAGAGGTAGGCACAGCAGGATCAGGGGTTCAAGACCACCCTTGGTTACATAGAGAGTTTGAGGACAGCCTGAGATATAAGAGAACCTATTCCAGAAACAATCAACAAACAGTCCAAAGCTACTCCCCAAACTCCCTAAAGGCATTGCCCTTTACTGACTGAATTCTCAGACAAAAGGACAATGAAAACCACTAAAGGAACATTTTACACAAATTACATGGAGACAGTTCTTTTTTTTTGTAATGTTTTTATTTAAATTAGAAGCATGAATACTTCACATATCAATCCCAGCTCCCTCTCCCACCCCCTCCTCCCTTGTCCCTCCACCAGCCCCCCCCAGGTCCCCACCCAATCCCCACATCATTCCCCAGAGAGCGTGAGGCCCTCCTTGGGGGGATCTCCAGAGTCTGTCATTTCATCCAGGGCAGGACCTAGGCCCTTCCCCATGTGTCCAGGCTGAGAGAGCATCTCTCCATGTGGAATGGGCTCCCAAAGATCATTCATACACCAAGGCCCCAGTGATTTCTCAGGCCTCCTCACTGACACTACATTTATGGAGTCTGGATCAGTCCCCTGTTGGCCTCTCAGCCATCAGTCTGGGATTCAAGAGCTCCCCTTATCCGGCCAGCTGTCTTTGTGGGTTTCACCATCATGGTCTTGACCCCTTTGCTCATCACTCCACATGGAGACAATTCTTAAGTCATCTGGAAATTCACCCAGGGACTGTGGTCAAATTCAAACGGGACATTTATGGATTTTCACATGTCAGTAGCATAAAAACGACCTTCAGTTTGTAAATATGAAACTGACCGGAGACCAAGTTCATTGTCTTGTCAATTTTGGGTGTGAAAAGCTGGCCCTACCGGTGAAAATACTTGTTGGGGTTTATTTACCACATAGCCTCTGGCTGCTGACCTTTTCTGCTGTCCTTACAAGGTGGTTTCCCAGTTGATGGGTGAGTGTTTATTTCAGTCAATCTGCTGCAAGCCTGGCCACTGTACATATCCAAACGCACGCCATTTGTTTCATGGTGAGAGAGTATATTTAAACAGAAGAAGGTTGACATTTTTATTGATCTCCAGCAAACTAATGTTTGTCAGGCCTTGCTGGGAACACTGTAACCCAGAAACCACATCTACTGACCTGGAATTAGAAACTCATTATAATGGAGTGCTAAACGCAGCGGTGGATTTCGAAGAGTAAGTTTAACTCAGTGTGTTGCTCGGTGTGTGTTGCTCCAAGTACCAGCTAGTTCATTGAAGATGGGAGAACAGAGCCTCAGTGGAAGTGAGCAGGAGATGTAAGGTCAGGAGGGAATGGGAGTGAGGAGAGCCAAAGGGAAGATGGAGGAGAGAGACGATGGAAAAGAAGAAGAGGCGTGGGAAGAAGGGAGCAGCAGAGGGGTGTGTATGTGTGTGTGTGAGAGAGAGGTGTGTGTGTATGAGAGAGGTGTGTGTGTGTGTGAGAGAGAGAGGTGTGTGTGTGTGAGAGAGAGGTGTGTGTGTATGAAGAGAGGTGTGTGTGTGTGTGTGTGAGAGAGAGGTGTGTGTATGTGTGTGTGAGAGAGAGGTGTGTGTGTATGAGAGAGGTGTGTGTGTGTGTGTGTGTGTGTGTGTGTGTGTGAGAGAGAGAGAGAGAGAGAGAGAGAGAGAGAGAGAGAGAGAGAGAGAGAGAGAGAGAGAGAGAAGAGAGATCAGGGACATTTCCCAGGAAGACTCCTTGCCCTGCCTTGCCATTTTCTGATATCCCTGTCACAGCTTCCCAGGTTCCTTGAGAACTCCTTGCTCCCTGTAATGGAGTTCTCAAATCCAGCAGGAACTCTCTTTCTTTTCCTCTTTCTTTCTTTCTTTCTTTCTTTCTTTCTTTCTTTCTTCCTTCCTTCCTTCCTTCCTTTCTTTCATATTTTCTAAAAAATTTAAATTAGAAACAAGCTTGTTTTACATGTCAATCCCAGTTCCTTGTCCCTCCCCTCCTCCCCTGCCCCCCACTGGCCCTCTATCCCATCACCTCTCTGCTCCCCAGGGAGGGTGAGGCCTTCCATGGGGGATCTTCAAAGTCTGTCACATCATTTGGAGCAGGGCCTAGGCCCTTCCCCGTGTGTCCAGGCTGAGAGAGCATCCCTCTATGTGGAGTGGGCTCCCAAAGTTCATTCGTGTACTAGGGATAAATACTGATCCACTACCAGAGGCCCCATAGATTAACCAGACCTCCAAACTGACACCCAGGTTCAGGGGGTCTGGATCAGTTCTATGCTGGTTTTCCAGCCATCAGTCTGGGGTCCATGAGCTCCCCTTGTTCAGGTCAACTGTTTCTGTGTCACTCCTCACTCTCTGCAACTGGATTCCAGGAGTTCGGCTCAGTGTTTAGCTGTGGGTGTCTGCCTCTGCTTCCATCAGCTGCTGAATGAAGGCTAGCATTTGCCTTTTTGTGACTGGGTTATCTACCTCAGGATGGTTTCTTCTAGTTCCATCTGTTTGCCCAGCCGGAGCTATTTCTAAACTAACGTATTTCTTTCATTTCTGAACTATCTTGAACTCATTGTTAATCTCAGATAACTTGGAGAGCAAAATGATCTCTGTGAGGTATGAATGACTACAGTGCGGGGGGGGGGGGGGGGCCGCGGGCGCGGGGCGAGCACCACAGAGAGGGTGTGGAGATGAGAGGGCAGCCTCAGCAGTCAGTCCTTGCCTGCCGCTTTGTCCTCGGCACCCTAGGGTTGCCCCATCTCTGCCTCCTATCTCTTGCGGTAGGAGTGCTGGGATTTCACACACATGCTGCCATGTCTGGCTTTATGCGGCCTCGGGGGATCCGAACTCAGATCCTTACACTCGTGTGTCAGATGCTTTACCCACGGAACCGTCTCTCCAGCCCTAATGTTTGAATTTTTAAAGGAGAAGCAACAGGATCTGACATGGGCAGAACTATGTTTTTGTTTGTTTTTAATGGAGTAGATTCTTACCTTTTGGAATTGAAGGCTTACATTTCTGTCAGGGACGACCTCTGCAGAGAAACCAGTCTGGGGACTCTGCTAAGTTTCTGCAGTGCATAGCTCCTGTAACCTGCCCCCTTCTTTGGTTCCTCCCCCTGCTTCCTCCTCCTCTTCCTCCTCCTCCTCTCCCCCTCCTTTCCCCCCTCTCTTTATCACTTCTCTCTCCCTCCTTCCCGGGGACTCTCTAAAAGTTTTGTGGCAGAAGCAGGGACCTGTACACATTTATCTTCATAAGTTGCCTATTGATTAGTTTGCAATGGTCTCTATATATGCTTTGCAAATTAAAATGCAGATACTAGTCACTTAAGGATCAAACCATAGTTTTTAGCACAAGTTCTTATAGTCCAGTTCTAAACTGTCCAGCATGGCAGCCATTTGCCCCATGTGGCAATTGTTCATTTGAAATGGGACAGGTACAAATGCAAAACTTAACACTTCAATTCATTAAATTTACTTAACTTAGAAATAAAAACCGATATATAATTTAATTATTGGAAAACTTGTGACATGTTTGGAACCACGTAGGCTTGTATCTTGCAAGGATCTACTTAAAAAGAAAAACAGTTTAATGAAATCCAAACATAGACCAAGCATTTCCAGTGACTATTTTGTACACAAAGGCCAGGTATCCTTTGTTCAAGTGGTAGGGAAAGGCTACAGGATCGGGATGGAAGAGAATAAGGTCTGTGATGTGGAATCCGTGAAGAGCTTGGGGACTTTAGCAGAAAGCTTATACTGAGGTGGACTTTCAGAACCTTCCTCAGATTGCGATGCATGTAGCCCATGCTGTACGGGGTTCTTAATGGCAGATAAGCAGAATCACTTTCATTCATAAAAGCCACCACTTTGCCATGCCCAAGTTGAGAACACAGCCCTGAAACTCCAGTGTGGAGCCTAGCAGGGGCCAGATGGGCTCCATGTGGTGGGGTAGTGCTTTGGAATCTTTCTGATGTGTGGAGGGTGGTGCTTTGTTCTCACTGGAATAGAATCTTATTTCTGGTTTACATTCGCTTTTCCTACCTACTGTATGATTGCTACCCTTTCCAGTAGAGGAGAAAGGACTCATGGCTTTGTGACCAGCTACAGAAACAAAAACAAATACTTCCTCAGTTTCTCGCTGTGATGAATGAATGAGTGTGTGTGTGTGTGCGTGCGCGTAAATACATGAGTTTCCCTTCCTTTCTATCCCATTGTTGTGTGGAGGGCATGTTAGAATATAAACTACAGAAGCAGTATGGCATTATACTAAAGCCAAAGTGGGTAAAAGCAGACATCACCTAGAAATTCTTGAGTTGTTAATACACCTCTGCCTGAGAGTTTGGTTTTCTTGAGGGGATAAGTAGCATATGATAGGTTTAAACATTTGAGTGTATGTTTTAGAACTGTGAACATAGAGATGTGGAGAGTCAGGGAAGGGGCTGTAATGAACATTTACTACTTTGGCTTACTTTGTAAGCAGTGGTGAGAGGAAGAGAACCAACTCCCTTGCAGAGGTCAAAGAGTTAGGCAGTGGTTTGTGCCTGAGTTAGTCAGTTGAGTGCTTCATGTGGGACTCTGAGTCTAGAGTGAATAGTTCAAAAATTAACTCTGCCTTCCCTCCCTCCCTCCATGGAGTTGAGTGGCAACAGAGCTGTGATGGTGTTGGGTGTCATATGCACAGTCCAGTAATAGTGACAGCTGTACTTCAGTCAAACTGTTCCTTGTGACCTAGACTTCATTATTGTTTTCTCTCATCCCTTTCTCTGCCTGTGGTGATACCTTGTTTGTACTCTAA